AACTATTTCAATATTACCATTAGGGACAAAACTCTATAGTAAAGTTGGATTGTAATTCTCAACAGTATCCAAGATGTACTTTTCATTCTATTTGAAAATCATTACAGATGAATATGCCTTCTTTTTGATTATTCTCACTTTTAGCTTGTACACCTAATATACTTTTTTTTATCTGATTCATGTTCGTATAAAATTCACATTCTTCCATTGTTGATATCTAAGATTAAATGTAATCACACTTTCTGTTTTTGTGATCTTCCCATAGTCTCTAATCATTATGTGTATTTTATTTAATTACATCATCACCTACAATATATGAATAACAAATATGTGTAAACATTAAACAATAGAACTAACTACCAGTTACTATCACTTACCAATCGATTAAATTTTAACCTTTATATTTGACAATTTTGATATTAATCTAAAATTTGGATAACCTAAATAAATACATTCAGAAGAAATGATGTTTACCAGCAATGTTCTGTATTCATTTCTAGAATTATGTTCATATGTGTATGATTTTGTGTTGATTAATTACTTTTCCAATGATTTTTTTGTGTATGAACAACAATATGTGGGTTTATTTAAAATTCCAAATGGTGGTGAAACAAGGTATTTCAAAAAGTTCAGAAAGATCAGTAATTTCGTTTGGACTTTATATTGCCTTTGTTCTTACATTAACCACCTCTCACTCTTTATTTATCTTCCGTCCTACCTAGTACAAAGCTAGTATTAGATGGTGGTTGGAGGTAGTCAACAGGAAACCCTGGACCCGGGTTTCGTGCTACTTGGCACTCGTCAGCAAGGTGTACCTGTAATCTTGAGGGAACTGGTGCTCCCTGGCGGATTCGATCTCGTGTCACCCGGCTTCACAGTCAGAGACGTTACCACTGAGCTATCCGAGCCGTGACTAACCTCCTGTAGGACTGAGATGTAATCACAATTGTTGAAAGCATGAGATTGATCACCACCCAGTGATCAATCAATTGTGATTACATCTCAGTCCTACAGGAGGTTAGTCACGGCTCGGATAGCTCAGTGGTAACGTCTCTGACTGTGAAGCCGGGTGACACGAGATCGAATCCGCCAGGGAGCACCAGTTCCCTCAAGATTACAGGTACACCTTGCTGACGAGTGCCAAGTAGCACGAAACCCGGGTCCAGGGTTTCCTGTTGACTACCTCCAACCACCATCTAATCTCATTACATAGTGCCCGCAGTGTCGAGTCACCTAGACTGGTGGCCACATTGCAACATGATCGATAGCATTCGATCTGCACTAATAAGGACTAGACAAGCATGAGATTGATCACCACCCAGTGATCAATCAATTGTGATTACAAAGCTAGTATGATATTATGACAATATTAATGTAGAATATTTGTGTTAATGAAAAAACAAACTAGGTTAAATGTGTTAGCTTTGATCTTGATGAAAAATGTCAAAGAATTTATCAGCCAATTGAAGCTAGACCGCTATGGAAAACCTGAAAGCACTAGACGGCCGTTTCGTCATATTATGGGACTCCTCAGCAGTGCGCATCCACGATCCCGCACCCGGCGGGATTCGAATCCAGGACCTACTGGCCTCGCGCGCGAGCACTTAACCACTAGACCACTGAGCCAGCATCCAACGGTGTTAGTGCACTGCTGAGGAGTCCCATACTAGGAAGAAACGGCCGTTTAGTGCTTCCAGGTTTTCCATGGTGGTCTAGCTTCAATTGACTCATGATTTCAACCTGTGAAACTTCTAAAACTCTCCACAAAACCCATTCTGAATTTATCAGCATTTAAGAATATGGTGTGAACAAAGAAGTATGTTTATTTGCAAATGTTCGTCAAAGATTTAAAGAGCTGAATAGTGGCTAATAATGGAATCCAGATTGTATGTTTCGTCATGTCTGGTAGTCGTCAGATAGATATAACTGTTAAACTGATCAATTGAAGTCGTTGACATCAACCAAGAATAAATATAAACAAACCGTACAAACAAATTTAAAATTTCAATTCATTCCATAAGTCGGTGTGTATTTGGACTCACTAGCTAAGTGGATAAGACGTTAGGCACTTAAAGTACGTGGCTTATTGAAATAGGTAGTGTTAATGTTGTTGAGAAAGATAATGATAACTACGCAACTAAATAATCTAGCTCAAAGAATACAATACTTCCTGAGTTGACAATTCTGTTCTATCTAAATGTTGACCAACTACCTAGATAGGTTTATTCAAGTTCCATTTACATTGGAGGTGATTTCTACTTAACGAATGTTATTCTATAATGCTTAATAGATGTTTTAATCATAAAGTACATTTCATTCAACCAAGTGAATTTTTCGTAATTCTCCAAACTCAATCAATCTAACAAATTCAGAGTTGTTAATCATTCTCTAACATTTAACCATTTAACTATTGTAGGGAAAAATAATTCTTTCATCTTAGCAACAGCTTGTCAAACTTATGGTTTTTATTCTTATAATTGCATTCTTGTGATATTTATGACACTATCCAAATATTAGCAATGACTGTTTTCACTCATATCTTAAACTCTCAGTCATTAATGTCAACTGCCAAGTAATCACTCTTTTGCAAACTAAGAATACACACACTTCATTTACCATTGAATACTATTTTAAATGTCAGTATCGGATTGGGGAGGTTTTTGGATTTCATTGAAATCACGAACAGATCTAAGTAACACAGTTTTTCAGTGCCCATCGCCAATCATGATGTATTGCAAACAAGTTAACAGCATACATACCGTACATCAGTACAACAGTGCTACAGTATCATGAGGATACAAGCTTCCATGAAAAGTGAGATTACATAACTCACCTCCACCTTATATTTACACAACAATTATTTATAAATTTACTGGAAGCACTGGACGGCCGTTTCGTCCTATTATGTGACTCCTCAGCAATGCGCACCCACGATCCCACTTTCGGGATTCGAACTCAGGGCCAGGTTTTCAGTGGTGGTCCAACAACGATCGGTTCATGATCTCAATCAAAAATAAATCGAATGACCGAGTAATTGTTAATTGATGACATTTGAATGTTAAAGGTCAAGCAATTAATCATCCAACCCAACTAATCAAACACACCTTGAAAATGACCTTAAAATTAATAATATAATAACATTAATTATTGTAATGATAAAAGTATTAGAAGTAATATAATTTCTAAGAGTATAAGTTTAATTATTCAAAATGAAATTACTGTTGAATTTTCAACGGTCATATGATTAAAATATATATTATCATTTATGGCGCCAGGATACCAACCCACATTTCGTCCTACCATTATAAAAATGATTGGTCGTTCAGATGAAATCGTTTATTGACAAACAATACAAAACAAGACTAAGTTGTAAAAAGTCTTTTAGAAACTTTGTCTATCCGGTAAGATTGTTATACTTTCCTTTCCTTTTTTGATCAATTAACATCACTGAACTTTGAGATAACTACGTGATGTTAATTTGGTTAGGCTGGAAAACAGTTAGTATTATGCTCTGTTTAACTTAGATTTCACCAAGATTTTGGAGAACCAATACCCTCCTTTTGGATTTGAGTAAGCATTATTCAGTACAGTAACCAGAAATTTTACTACTATGCCATTCACATTCTGATTGAACTCTAGTTGAAGCGGGATTTTTAAAGTGACTGATCACTGAAAAGTAATGAACATCCATGTTTATCTAGTTCTTAGTATCCAATTTCGAGAAGTCATTGCAGAGTAATTTGTAAATATTACTTTTAAAATTTTCATATTTCAAACAACCAACAACAGGAATTGTTACTCACATTTTCAATTCTAATCAAAACAGCTGAGTTCTGAGAAATCATCTTCTTACTTACCCCTCGTGAAGCATAGATCGTGTGTGCTTTCTAGTTTTCTTTTATACTTTTATCGACATTAATTTATATTGCTCTATGATAATCCTTCTTCATTTATTCTCACGATATATCTACGTCAATATGATTAAAACGTATATATTGTTTATAAAGTCTACCTTAACACTTTATAAGCTTCCAACGTAAAACTGAGCTCAGTATACTAAGCAGTTTCATTATACACACACATAGTTTCAGCTGTAGGCAAGCAAAAACAACAGTAATTAACAACCTTTGTAGAATGGTAGAATTAAAAGTCAGTCTGTAGTTGGGTTGGTTTCGGAAAATATTATGCTTGCTTAGTACCAGTGACCTCGAAGTGGGATATTAATCAGAACTAAAGTCGATTCCAATTAGGTTGTATGTGACAACAGAGTAACATTCAGTTTACTATAATTTTTTGAGAAACAGCATTCTGTGAGGCTAAGATTCTTAACATCCCGGAAATCAATGCTAGATAACAGCGGATGAAGTTATACTGAAAATTCAATACTATCAATCTAAACTACCCATATTTGAAGTTGCAATATTCCTTCAAATTTATTGATCACCTGATAAATTTTTGTTCAAAGCAAATTTTTTATCACCATAAATTACCTGTAAACAAACGATTTTATCGACCAATACACCGATAATGTGTTTTACACTTGGCACCAATATCAATCAATCAAATCATCAATCAGGTTTAAAAACGTCTGAAATCAAAGTATCATACTGGTAACAATGTTTTATGAGAATGGTGTAAGAATTGTAGTACATCTCATATATATATATATAATGTTCTACAAGTCAACGGTTAAAGGCTTGTTCCTGGCTATATATAAATAGTGTGAGTTTTCTTACGTTTTCCCACTATTTCTTACATATTATATCATTAAACATTATACTGAATGTAATCATCTTATTGTTTTATGTTCATTGAAGTAACGATCGCAAAGTTGGTTAATGCATCATCATCATCTCGGGGTTCCTACATTCTATAATATCATAAAGATATATATTGACGTGTTTTTCCTTATTAACGGGTTTTATATTCATTTTGTATTTATAATACACATCCATATATCTTTCATTTCCAATTTTTACCCTACGTCAATTTTATTCTAGATAAGGCATCGTAGTCCTTCCGAACAAGCAGGATTACGTGAAGGTGATCATGTATTGGCAATTAATGGTGTAGATGCATTGGATATGTCACATGCGCAAGCTGTACAAATCATTGATTTTGCATCCTATACATTAGAAATAATAGTAGGAAGGTAAGTGATGTTTCTTCCTATATTGAGATTTGAAAACTATAATTAAATGACTAAGTGTAAATCAATATATACTCGATTTTAAGCCACATTATATGTAACAATCGGCTGCCCAAATCGAAAATGGAGCTGATTGATCGAAATCTGAATTCCTTTCTAGTAAAGCCACAGCTTTTCGGTAAGTCATCAATAGAGCTCTGAATTCGAGTTCTATACTTATCATTACTAATTACTGGGAGTTAAAAATTCGTCGGTTGACTCCTCTACTATTAACACTGCTTGAATTATTTGATTAAACAGTCGATAACTTGTAATATTTGGTTAGAAATCTATTTATTATCTATACGATGTTAACAAACACTATAAAATGAAATTATTTAGATAACATTCTAAATGTGAGGATAATTAACATTTTTACAATATTGAGTAAAAGTGAAATTTCTAGCATATTTGAGGATTTTCCTGTTTATTTAGTGTGGCAATATTGCATGAAATAGTTCAATTCTCCTCGACCTAATGTAGCAGTTTCTGTACTCCTATGTGAATGTATTCGAACTTTTCAATAGATATAAATAATTCCGATGACATGTGATGAACGAGTCATCTTTTATGTTGTCTTAGTAATCACATTCTTATCCTAAGTAACTGTGACCTTATTTGGATATATCTATTTTATTATTGTAGTCGTTAATTAAATGCATGCTCGTTTTGTGTTTTTTTCTATGTTTATATCTACATGCTGTTTGCCACTTTCATTATATTTGTAAAATTATATATAAACATATTAAAAGATTCGTATTTCAAGTTAGAGTCAACCTAAAAGGCTACTCTGTTGAGTATATATATATCACTTATGTGAGATCATGAATCGATCATTGTTAGACTATCATTGAAAACTAGGGAGCACTATACGGCCGTCTCGTTCTTGTGTGAGACCCCTCAGCAGTGCGAGACCGAAGGTCCTAGGTTCGAATCTCGCGTGTGGTGTCGTGGATGCACATTACAGAGGAGTCTCCAAAGAAAAATCCATCCAGTGCGTCCAGGTTCCCAATGGTAGTCTAACAGTGATCGATTTATGATCTCAATCAAAAACTCAACAATCTCCCCAACCTTATACTGATGGTCTCATATAATATTTTTATGGCAACGGTTCGTTTGAACTTTTAAGAATTCGCGCATTTTATCTTTATCTATTTCATTCATTTTTTGTAAAGATATGAACGACATAAAAATTCTGAAACAGTCTATATGGATAACAAAACTTTATTGTCTAAACAAAAACCGCAAGAGATCACCACAACTGAATTACAGTTATTCTGGGAGAAAGATATGCCACTGAAACCAGCTCGTCGAAATTGGCCACCTCCGCCGAAACCTGTACAAGAGTACAACATTCCACCTCAGCCAACATCAGTACAATCTAAACGTCCGCCATTAGTACAATCTCATTCAGTTTCAATACATGTACCTGCACAAAAACCTGTGGCTATTCCAACACCACCTCAAGTACAAACAGTACATATACCACCTCCAGTACGACAACCATCAATTGATCCACCTATTATACCTCATGATCCAGATGTTACAAGTGTTTCTGTGAAACAATTAATGCGAGAATTTGATGTGCCACCGATTGCACCAGAGCTTAAAAGTGAGTTATTTAGAAAAAAGAAACGTGTTTTTGCATGAATTGTGACAATCTACAAGAAATTTTAAATATTTCTAGGTATTATAACCATGGTTTGATTTGATCATTGATCATTAAGTGGGTTGTTAATAATAGAATTAATTATATATTTATAATATATCAGTTAGTAGAAAAAATAAATTTTATAATGTTTCGCAACTCAATGTTGGCGAATTCTTCAGAGAATAAATAAATAAACAAATGAAATTAACAAAGGTTTAAATAGTATAAGAGAATAGTAAAAAATATTCTATACAAACGATTGAAAGAAGAGTCTGATTAAGTTAGTGTCATGTCATTCCGATAAGGGTGATCAGATCTGTTTTGGGATTGATTGTACTAAAAAACTTTGCTTTGTTCCTTTGTACTGCCTAACCCTTCGTTAACCAAATTTATGGATTTATTCTCTGAAGAAATCGGTAACACTGAGTTACGAAACATCATAAAATTTATTTTATTAACTCACTGCAATATTACAAATAAGCAGACTTCATGCCATTAATAGTTAGTCAACTGTCCTAATGAAGAAGGAAGAAACCATCCAAATAAATTTTACTTAATGGGCTTTAATGGACTTTTTTAAGTTTAAATTGATTTTCTGTTTGAAAAAATATCAGCCACAGAATCACTGAAGACCATGAAGCCCTAATTCACCCATTTCATCCTAGTATGAAAATGTGTTGTATGTTTTTCTGTTCATAATAAACTCGTCCACACATTTCATTCATTTTAATATTTCAAATATATGGAGACGGCTCCCGATGAACTCAATAAAGCTCTAAAAAGCTCTGAAAGAACCGAAGACATTCCATCCAATCACTGTTTGGAAGAACATTTCAGAATCTCAACGTGTAGTTTCCCGTTTGAACAAATACTAGAAACTACTGCATGCGGATCGGATGATTGTAATGATGATTTCGTTTTTATTAAAAACGATGAATATCTGATTGTTTTGTACTATATTTGACACTGGAATAACATCCCATCTCACTCGTCTTCCGTCTTCTCACTTACGACTTAGAAAGTTCTCGTGTTCGAGTTCTCAAGGCGTACGCGGTATAGCAAAGATTGAAGTGTTAGATACAACAGAATAAAATCGCCCTCTGTTGTATAAGTATGTCAATATCTATAATAATGTTGAATTTCAAATATTTTAGGTTGTAAGCAGCTGATGAGAACCTAACGAAATAAAATGAATTCATATTATTCTGCACCAACCTTTTTTCTTACTCTCTTTAAAATAATACTTGATGGGATCATTTTTAATTTCTTTGTTTATTGTCCTACATAGAAAAGAATTACGCTGATTCATCATTTTATTCTGATCCAACAAAATATTATCCAACAATTGAAGAACAGATTGAAATGGCAAGGAGAGTTGCGAATAGTTTACATGATCCATATAACTTTGAGTCAAAAGGTGCATGTATGTTTGAAAAACAAAGGCAACGAGCAGAAAAACATGTGAAAGAAGGTCCAGAACCTCAACCAGATCCTATTGAGTTGGTTAGTTATAACTTTTTGATAATATTTAGGTTACATAATTCCTAAAATGATAAGTGGAATGATAACTTAGTACACAGGGCTCTTCGATTTTTAGCCACTAAGTAATGTGTTTGCCTCGTAGCCAAGTATATGAATCGTCATTTGGCAAATAAGCTAATAGGGTTAAACATTACAACTACTATTATCAAAACGCACAAACTGTTCTATACGTAGATTCAAAGCGATAGTGTTATCATTTAAATTACTACTAAGGACGAATCCAGTGAACAGTATTTCTAATTTAAAACGATTCATGATGTATAACAACTGTAATTATCAAAATTTGAAAAATTCCTATATTGTGATTTAGAGCAACATATATAAGCGAACAATATTGTCTCCGACTAGATCCTCACCAAGCTTTACTTTAATTTAAAGTTCGAATTAGGGCTAACAGTCCAAATCTTGGTGTTCATAAGAAATTTGTAACACCTTTATCTCTTTCATGTCTTGTGAGAGTTCATTTATGTTGCATCTAGCATTCTAAAACACTTTTTCGATCATCTGTTGAGTGAGTGCTGGGATATTAGAGCACAATTTCCATTTGAGAGTATAATTCAAATCCTAATTTATATTATATTTGTGGTTTTTTCTCTGAGTGTTGATCAGCTGTACACTAATGTGGTAATATCAGGCAGTTTCAGCTAAGTCTAGAGGCTTAAATTAAATAGTTGATGGAAATTACACGCAATTGTGCAGCACTCATTCATTAAAGGAACTGAAATTTATCAGCAGTTGCTTGATATTATTAAAAATATTGTGAATAATCGTAGCCAAATATTACGTTATAGAATAATATATAAGAACTTAAATGATTCGAAAGCTTTAGAAGCTAGTTTGAGAAGAGAGAGACCATTAATTAACAAATAGAACAAAAGGAATCATTGAGAACATTTAAGCATATAGTGACGAAATATCAACAAGCCAGGCATAATGAAACAAACTGGGACTGAAAATAAACTGTACATTTTAAGCTAATATTAAACTAACTGACACCCTAAACACATAATCAATAGATATTGAATTTTCACAGATTGAAATCATGAGTCAGTTGAAGCTAGACCACCATTGAAAACCTGGAATCACTGGACGGCCGTTTCGTCCTAGTATGGGACTCCTCAGCATCGACTCCTCAGATATTGAATTATTATGATTGTAATTGTACAAATATAAATACTCGGTTCACTTATCTTTAGTTATTTTAGTAACATCATGTATATACTTGGTAAATAATTACAGAATACACATCAGTTTACAGGTCAATCAGACTGATGCATAAGGAATGTAACATTAAAAAGACACATTCAAATTATTCTGACCGAATATTTGTCGTAAAGGTATTAAGAATAAGAAGTATATGATGCAAGTGAAATATATAATTACAAGTGTTAACATTTTAGGGTGTACCATTGTCATTGGAGCATAGTTATCAGTCCTATAAGCACAGGGTTGACTTTAAAAAAACTGAATAAGAAGGACAATGAATATGTAAAGAAATTGGCATAGTTATACCGTGATGAGAGTGTTGGAATGACACTGCATAGAGTGTGAGATCTATGGAAAGTATTTTCTTGGAAAGAGGATTGGAATGTCATATTTGCAAATGAATAATACAGTGAACGTTTACGAGTCTACAACTAGAAGCAAGAAAACGAAAATAGATTACATGCAACAGCAATAAGAATTCATGTGATAAGTCTATGGTTATGATCTATTGTTTCATGACCTACTGTCTTGAGTACATTTTGTTGAAAATAAGCAAGCATCCTATGTACATCCTTAGAATCACGAAGTGAATAATGTAATTAAGAAAAGGTTTAAGATTACCCATGTGGAGTAAGGATTAGCGAAAAAAATTCTAAAACGAAAGCAAGTTTAATAAACATACTCGATAATAGCAGTAATACCAGATTTAAAGTCGTTATAATTTCAGTAAAGAAGTGAGATGTATTCTAAGGAGTAACTAAATGTAAGGTAATCTCAGAGGTGAGTTAATCATCAGTGTATTGTAAAAACAAGGATATTAATTTTATTTACATGGATAGACTGTAACAACTAGTTCCAGACTGTTGAGAAACTGGCTTTAAGTAAAATTCATCTAGGTTTATAAATTTAACCATAGATCAAATAAATATTTAACAATTATCGATCAGTTTTTTACAATTATATTCTAAGGCAAGTCCTGAAGAGTTGGAATATATGTCACCTCCTGAAGCACCTCCACCCCCGCCTCCACCACCACCAAGTTTTCCTGGACTTCAACCAACTAAGAAGCCAGTGGTTCCTCCACCCCCACCTATGACATTTGCACCAGGTCAGCCTAAAACAGTACAAGAATTTTTAGAGAAAATTAAAATATTCCCTAAAAATTTGCACACAGATTTAGATCCACAAAAATGTTTCGATATTGCTACAGCTTTATATACATCGGATAGTCGTGGTGCTAAAATGTTTGCTAAACGTCATGCTAGAGCAGTAAAATGGGATGCCCAAAATCCAGAAGATGGTGATGAGTCAGGGAATAGGATGAATGTAACAGTAGCATCTGGTCCTGGACCAACTGTACGTAGTCATGACCAATTAAAAGTGCTTTCGAAACTTCCACAATCAAAAACACAACAACAACTTCAAATGAAGCAGAGACAACAGCAAGCTCCTGTAAAGCAAAATAATAATAATAGTAATAATAATAATAATAATAATAGTAATAATGGAGAGTTGGACGCATATAGAAAGTCATCAATTTCATTAGCTACGAACAGTTCGGTAACTACACCGACACCTTTGGACAATTTGATTGGTCCTACACCAAAGCCATTTATACCAATGAGTTCAAACAACAGTAAGTTGTGTAATATGTTTCTAAATAATTGATCAGTAAAAATGAAATAAAATTTGTTTGTATAAACCATAAAAATTCATAACTTCAAATGGATCACTGTCTATTTAAAACACCTTGGTATGTATAATAAGTTACTTCTTGCGTATTTTGCTAAAAACAAAAATTAACCTGAAGATATTAAGTGGTTGGAAATATTCTATAACAAACCTTATACGTACGTTTTGTGCTAGATGGTACGCATCAGCAACGCCTGTTTATTATCTTGTAAAAACTCATACTCGTTAAGGGATTTGAACATGTATCACTATTTTCCACAGTAAGAGATGTTATTACGCAATATTTCAACATGGCGTAAGTGATGTCCAGTTACTTAAACTAGTGATCATACTGAAACTTAGTCGATTGAATTCAATCTGTATTAATCTGCTAGATGTACATAAAATTGGCTACTACTCAATGATGCGTCAATTGTAAATTAACCTGGTGACCATCTTCGCCTACTAGACTGTCAGGTATAAATTTAGTAACTCATAGAATAGTACAGTGAAATATATATTCACTATTTCTGGGCATGTATATACATATGTATGTAATTAACGATTTATGGTTTGATCGGTTGCATATATTTTTACTCCTTTAATCATTAAATCAAATACATTGTATTTCAGTAACTCCACTAACTAATGATATAAAGTGTATTAATTAATTTTATAATTAACTTTACACACTGGATTAAATCTGCTATGAATAGTTGTGAACAGTTAACAACCACTTAATAGAAATTTTCTAGTTTTTTATTGAATACAATAGGAACTGTTCATTGTATTCACTCTATGTAGTTTACTTATTATTTGAATGACTTCGCTAATTAATAACTTTATTGAATATAAAAAGGGAAATTTACAATTACCTTAGCTACATTCATACAAATATCACTACTTAATGAATTGTAAGAAAAAATGTCTTCCTGTAGTTAAAGTCCATTTTAATTTTAGTTCTAAACATAAATAAATTGATAATGAGAGTGAATAAACCGTTCAATGTTACCAGGTTAATTAGTTAATAAGTTAGTTAGTATTCTGATCAGTAATCTGATAGTCAACAATGAAAACTCGTTACTAAACAAAGTTTTTGTAGAAAGATGAACTTATCGCGTCTATCATAAGACGTACAGGTCATACATTCACTCGTTGGCTAGACTGTAGTCATACGATATGAATGAGACTATTAAGATTACACATTTGATCGATGTATTGAGGAGAGATTCGGCAATAAAAGTCTTCTTTATAATTTCTCCAACTCAGCGTTTACTATTTTGGCTTTCACTAGTTTCATAAGCCTCGATTTTTCATATGATTTGACTGGTAAGGTCAACCTTGAGCTTGGGAAAAGTCAATCCTCATCGGTTGAGAACATATTCCTTTCTTCTATTTCAGCCCTGTGTCCGAATAAGAGAATAAGGGAAGGCAGCATTTAAACATTTAGTATCATGTTACATATATTAAGTATCTCCATCTCAAGCACATTAGTTTATATACATGAATTGTGAGAACCCAATACACCCTAAATAGGGAATTATACTTAGTAAAGCGTGTGTTCCAGCCAGGTCAGTTGATAAAACATTATCTGATGTGGCCTTCAGGTAATTTTGGAAAGGATTCCACGTTTTTAAGGTCCAGAAACCCACCGTGTGGATGTTATTTAGTACTAGGTAACACACAGACTTTTATTCGAGTGTTTCTTGGTATACATACAGGTATACTTATTCTGTAAACAAATACACGTTGTATGCACACCGGTAACACACAGGTTTTATTCCATGCATCCCATAGCATACATATAGGTATACTCACCCACTCAGAAGGGTAGATGTTCACCGCTCCCTTTGAAACGTATTTGCTACAGCAAACTGTCTTTTACACATTACATTCAGCCCATAGCTACCACCCCAGTACTTCTTGACACACACATAAGCATAAGCATTCTCTAAGGGGAGGTTGTTTGTTACCTCTTCATAGTATGCGGTAGCATATCTCTTTATTATATCTTCGACCTGATAGATTAGGTGGCTGATTTTATTAGACATAGGGTAGACAATATTTCAGCCATTATTTCCATTGTATGACACCACATGCATAATCTTCGCATACGTCTACATATATGAACTACATAAGCCCGAAAACTTCTGCAATTCATATACATAAGTACACACATCAGGTGCGGTTCAGTGAACCTCTAGTTGGAACCCGGATAATCAAAGTCACGACAGAGTGATTGATTATTTTGATTTCCATCAACTGCTTAAGTTTGTTACCAGGGTTGCTCCTACTATTCAGCATTGCTGCGAAAAAGCCTTAGGTCTGATTTTGTTACCCACTTTTTACATACAATCATAATATACGTGAAAGAGAACGAAGCAAACGGTGAATAATTGATCGACTCCAGTATTACTCAGTTATTATAGATATTATTACGTCATTGTGAATTTATTGACAGGTATAAACGAATAACACAATATCCAAAATGACAAGTCCACTGTTTTGTATTATACATTGATTCTATTAATCGCTAATTGTTAAGTTTTAGCTAATTTGACATAAATGTGAATAATTCAAATGATTTTGTTTTATTTTATATTCTTTCAAAAAAATAATAATGTAGATACACCCTTTGGACAAATGAATAACAATAATATTACTAATGTTAGTAGTAATAATAATAATAGTAATACGATCGAAGCAAATCGTCTAAATAATCCAAGTGAATCTGGTTGGCGACCAGTAAAATTTCGAATTGGACAAACTGCAAATTAAATTAATTGTTTGTTTTTGTTTTTGTCAAAAAATCAAGTTTACAGGGAATAGAGTTATTTTATGCAACATTTTGTCATTTCTATATACACAGATAGATAGACTTAATAATAATTTGCTACGTGGTTATCATTAATGCTTACATTACTATTATCAATATACAACGATATTAGTACCGTAATAATAACTATGCATTGTTAGTTTTCTGTTGATGTCTTGCATATTTTTTAGCCAAAATAACCTGTTCATCGTTTTATCCATACCCTAATGAGTATTTATGAGATATGTATAACACATCTATTCTCTGTTGTGTAACATGTGTGTGAATATGTATCTCTATGTCCTATTTATTCATTAACGTTTTTCATTTGGACTTAAAGATAAACCATAACCTTTTTGTATCGTACACAATCATTATTACCTTGAAGTCAGTCAGTATAATTTACATTTATGCTATAAAAAGATTGACATAAATGTACAGAACACAATCCTTAAAAGTTTTGAATATAATTTTTAAAAAAAACCCAATGAATTAAATTATAAGATAGCAAGAAGTATTGAAACATGAAATATACATTATGAACTATCGGCTAAAAGCTCAATCTTTTAGAATATATTTATTCGACTATATTTAACCTATTACACATTAGGGAATATAGGAGCATTTCGTATTTTCAGTTAAACTAATCAACTCAATGTTCAACAGATTGGGTAAAACATAGAATAAATGAAAAACTGTCAGAAGGTATATATAACAGCTATCCTTTAATCTATAACCGGCTGCAATAAGTATTATCCTTGCTTAGTTTATTTCCTCCACTTATTTTCAGCTGCTTATCTACCCAGCCCATATACTTACACAAATAACTACTTGCTCATACTACCTACTACTCTCTCTCATTCTTTCTTCATATTTTCTTACTTATCTGTCATATTCTTCACTTTTGACAGAGTTTAATACCCTATAATCTAATCTTGTTATATTATTGAGTATTTTGACTGTTTTGTTAGAATGTATAACAATTGATTTGAGTTAATAATCTTATTAAAAGTTTTATTTCATTTCTACGCTACTCATTTCAGTATTTGGTATTCCTGTAATTTGAATACAAAGATTTTTAAACAAGAGAATAGATAATACCCAGCTATTCTATGTTGTGCTTTTTTTCTCATGATTAAACAAAGAAACATTATTTTTCTGAACATGAGAGAGATGAAATGTTAATTATGTAGGTAACCTGACAGATTTCAAGTGCATGTCGCCTAAGCATAGTCAAATAAATTAACATAGAATATACCAGTATATTGTTACACTTGAATATCATAAACATACTGTAACAAGATGTCTCGATAAGTACAAGATAAACTGAAAACTTTATTATCTTGTTGCTTACCAATCCACAAGTAAATAGTATGTACCAACTTATAAATAATAACCTACTTCGGACTGATAAGACATTAGTCTAAATTATGTATGATAGATGCTGTTCAATGCCATACAACTTTTCTATTTGCAGTTGAAAAAATCTTTCATTTGGAAGTAAAAAGATGACGTAGACCGGCTAACAGTGGACATCATGATCGTGAAATTTATCTAAACTAATGAATGTATTATTATAGTAACTAATTAAATTCAGACAAACATTAAAATTGTATAAGATTATACTAGATTTGCTGGCGAGAACATAACATATGGACGAACCAACGAAATTGGAAATGTGATGTATTTGTACTATACAATTCGAACAATCTGGTCACACATATACTTGTCAGGGCATTGTATATGAAAATTAATAAAGGTCAATTAAATGAAAGCTCAAGTCAAAAAGTTAACAAAGAGGAGAGAAACAACTTGACATCATGTAAAACGAATAATAAATTGTCGCATAATCCTAGGTCGTAGAATGATTTAATGATTACCAGGGTAAATCCAAGGTTACGACAAATTAGTTTTGTACACATAAGGGGGGTTTAAATTTACGAATAGCCAAGGTGTCAATAAACCTAAGAATTTATCCTTGACAATTTCTAAACAGTGTAAAAGGAAGGACACAATTGAAATAAAGAGAGATATGTAGAATAACATTTTATCTCCAGGCTTCCTATCAGTTGCTAATGACCTAAATTTACATTCTAAAAACGATTTTTTTTTTATGACATACCAATGAAGTTTGGTTCAAAACGAGATAAGTAATAAGAGGACACAAAATATGTTATAGATCAGTTAAGATTTATAAGTATTTATATATTGAAAGTGCAGCTATAAAAAGAAGGCGATTGAAGTTGTAGGTGACAACAACAAAAAGATGATAAATGAATGAAAACAACTTGTTAACAACTGAGTGGTAATCATGGTATTTAGTTGGCATAATATTAAATTTAAATCATGAGTGCATATCAGTGGGATTTTTTTAAAGTTATAAAGTACAATAAAGAAATAAATTGATTGACAATATAACTATCTTATCAATGGCAATAAGAGGTTTACTACAAATTTCTTTCTGTATACAAAGATCAGATCGAAAGAATTTCATGAAAATGATCTTTGAAAAAATGGAGTAAAAGTGGCGTTTGCTGCTTGTCAATTGTTTTAATTGCTTTTGAGATATCTACATCGTGTTCACTGTACATTATATTTAGTGAACACAATTTACAAGGAATATGTAAGGAAAACGTTTTAGATACCCTTCTTCCAGTCCTTCCTATATACGTGCTTCCATAAGTTCGTAAATAGATGCGAAGGTGATATCAGAAGGGTATCGATCAACTATCTATTGGTTTAAGGAATATCTATTGTTATACACCAAAAATAGTTGAGTTGCAAGGAAGCTTCAATATTAATACGCTGTTGTCTTTTACACAATGCAGCCTTTTGTAAAGCTAATTGCAGTAAAGATAACAAGGACTGTGACAGATATTATGGAAAACTTCACCACGGAACATAAGCTTAAAGATTGATAGAATTGCAAATGATCCTACAGAAAGGTAGGTAAAGTTTCATTCTTTGAACTACGTGGTTTAATCGCCAAGCTTTCTTCACCAATCTGGAGAAAATCATCAGCACTAATTTTATATAGAGATGATATAACCAGATTATTGATAACCTCTACTGACGACCGTGATGTTGATTGGTTGTTGTTGGCTCTTGTCTTATTGATTGCCATTCTCTTTGACCTGATTTGCTAACATGATAAATGTCCATGATTTTTCTAATTGGTTGATTAGTAGGGTTGACTTCGATATGTTTATTGACTGACCCAAGTCCCAAGCCTCTACAATTCTGTTTGGTAAATATTACGACATTTCACAGTCAACCGTATCGATAACTGTTTAAGTGTATTGATTTGAAAGAGGATATATCGTGGGATTTGACAGCTAGTTGGTGTTAAAATACTCGCAAATCTGTTCAACTTATATTTTGTATTAAAATCATTACTAAAATTACACTCCTATTATTGAAGTACGTTTAATTATATATCTATTTTTATATTTCTTTCTAGAGCATTACACAGAAATCTATGAACCCATAACTTAATTAAAGGGTGGGGAACAATTAGGCTCTAGCTAACTATTTTTAAAACTCCGCCTTGAGTCCCTCCGGGGGCTACTGCCGCTCCCAAGTCCGGATAATGGAGAAGGGTTGAGCATGGAGTTAGCGACCCCATCCCGTAGAAAACTAACTCGCTTAAAAAACGCTAATTAGAAAGTAACTATTTTTGATCTATGATGTATAAAACAATAAAAGATGTTGGTTACTGAGTAAATTGAATTAAGGCAATATGATAAGATGACTGCAAAATATTGATTTGTTTAGAGGGAAGATAATATGCGATTTATGATATGAAATAAGACCTAACTAGTGTAAAAGAAAATGAGGAAGGAACCTAAAAAATAGAATGAATAATTACTTATCATTTAAATGTTTGTTTAACTGACTCCACAATACGCCATGGAACTAATGTACAACTTACAATACGGAGTGTATGACCACAAGGGGTGCCTATATCCAAAGTAAAAAGAATTGGAGCCACAAAAATGAGTTTTTATACACACATTACTTCGATTTCACGAAAGGGAAACCGATGATAGACATCTAAAAGATTAGTAAGCATGTTTAGAGGTTATTTCTCTTATATCTGATTCCAGTAAATAATATCCTGTTAATTGAGTGTTTATGTAAGCCAAATCTCCTAGCAGTATTACGAATTTACTCGAGATTATTCAAAAGCTAAAACATCAGTTGTAGGGATAGTATATGGTCAAGAATTCCTAAAATTCGTAAACACACAGAGGCGAGTGTTTGTGAGTGCAAAAGAATCTATATATGTTTATGAATGTTAAGCGATTGTGGATAAATTGTTGATTGCCTGTGTTTAAAACCAATGGGAGAATAGAAAAAGATGGATGTGCAGTCATGAGTCCAATAAGACTCACAAATAATTTTACATAGTTGGTCAATTGTTTGAATTACAGCAAGTAGACAAATAATGAAGTAGTTCAATAGGCCTACTATACATGTAAAATCGGCTGCAATTAAACTCAACTCCATTTCGTAATTTTAGCAGTCTACTTAGCGACCAATCAGAAAGAAGCGAGAATTATCATTTCCGTCATCTTGATAAATAGTGGTGGTCGGCTTGCATCGTTCTGCTTGTTTTATGGTGTAGCTGTGTAATTTAATAATTTAATGTGCTGAAATTCCCCAATTTACGTAGTATTCCAAGTGTTGGAGCTAATTCGTCTGATTCCATTATGTTTTCAGTTTTTGCTGCTGCTACTCGAGTCCGTGTATTACTTTAGGTAAGCTCGACTGTTTTATGTGGCAAAATGTTAATCGTTTTTGTTCTGAGTTCTATTTTATAGATATCGGAAACCAGAGTTAGTTTTTTAGTTAGGATAAATGTTGCTACCGCCTGGAATTCTCTAACTGTGCGCAAGTTCGTTCCGAATTGACATGTATGATGTTATCGAGAGCAGTGACAGAAACCGATCACCATTTTGTTATTTTCTTCAAACTAATACTGAGTGTCCAGTAGTAGTAGATACCAGTGATGTTTCAGAAAGGATTATAAAACCCAGGCACTTGACATCATGGAACCGAGTCAGAGATGCTATCGATCTCTTGCATAAGGTTTGTTATTTAAAATATACCACATAACATTATTGGATGAGTTAGACATATTACATCGTGCGTGGAAGCAAGCTTAAAATTGGAAAGCCGGAAATCCACAACTAGTCTGTAGTGTGTTTGTTAATTTGGCCATAAAAAGAAAGCCGGAGGGCCATGGTCAGAAGGTAAAAGGGTGAATAAATGTTATTGTTGTGTCCCGATAAGAATAATGGTAATGTTTGGGATCCAATTATGGACCAATATTATATATTTTTTTCGTATAAATGTTATGCAACTAAACTGTTCATATCCATACCCCTCTTATTATGAGCTTTATGTTGACCTATGAACTACTATTGTACGATTTACCATTCATGAATTATTCTCTATCTGTTAATCGCTACCTTCCTCATTCACAGCCACTTCTGGCTAATTATTGTACAAATGTTATTTTCTATTTTATTGGTACGTTGTGGTTGGGTTAATTGGTATATAAACAGAGTATGCTTGAAATGCAATGATTCATATCTCAGAAGCTGAGACTTGCGTTCTGGACTTAACTGGCTGGGCTAAACAGGGAAGCAGGACCAATCAGGACTCTAGGCTGCTCGCACATGTTTTACGCGTCTTTGTTCCGATCGATAATTCGCTGCCGTCTAATCTTCAGTCACAAGTTATAACAATGTGGGAGACAAGGATGACCAGTCAAATAGTAATGGAAATGAGAAGATACAACCTGGCAGTACTCGGAATCAGCGAAACTCATTGGACCCAAGCTGAACAGAATAAGCTAGATGCGCGAAAGGTGCTGTTATACTATGGTCATGAAAAAGAATTTGCGCACACAAGCAGTTGCATTGATGTTGTCCAGAAGGTCACGAAGGACTCTTATGTGTTTTACTTGTCATTGGTCCGACCGATAATACACTGCTCTCTAATCTTTCAGTCAAGGACACAACAACTGGCAAGGGGTAAAAATCGACCCAAGTTCCAGTCACAACAGTTATTATGCACTTTAATAGACCAAAGTTTACCGG